CTCAAGGTACAAATCATCTCACCTCACTTCAGCTGCCTAGAAATTAGACATCCAGACTTGACTGGTCATTTAGTCAAAGAAGAGACAGGCACTAAATGTAAGCAAGAGAAATCTTTGGGAATTCTTTACCTTGGGTTAAGAGTAAATGGGGTAAATAAAGTTTGAAATTGAAAAAAAGACCTACACAACCAAATCCCAGAATACCTATCTGAATTTTTCAATTTTGAAAAAAGACAACATAAGCAAAATGATGAGAGGAGTGATCCTGGTGGGTGGGGGGACAGGCCAGCATTCTCAGTACAGGTTCTAATCTGAGCAGACAAGTAAATGCTCAGACTGGAAACAACACAAATATCAATGGTTTGGTTTAATTAAAAATGGACTTACAACCTCATCTTGTAACATCAAAATCATTGCATCACCTATCTTACCTATCACTGTTGGACTTGCTGGCTGCAGGACTAAAATGGGGTTTTATGTGACTGGAGCTCTGACTACACAAGTACACAGGTGTTTGTGGCCCACATTCAGAATCTTATTTCATAAATCCCTGCAATCAGGTAAAATACCATGAAAGGAAAATTAAACACAGATGGTTTTATCAATATGGCAACAGCAGCATATTTATAACTGAGCCACAGAATAACAGTACAGGGAATACCACTATGCTGATTCAATTTATTGCTCGCTGATTATTTTGAGAATGCAGCATTATCTCTTTATTACAACACGTTGTCCTGACTCCACTTTTAAATCAGCATTATCGAATTCATCCTTGGTGCAACACTAAAATCATCAGCCCAGCTCAACAGGGTTGCTCTGAAGCCTTGTGTGTGGAACACATTCAGCTGAATGGGATAAAGCTGAGACACTGCTTTTTATAGGAGCAAACTTACTGAACTTGAACTCATGATTGGATTCGGGAAAAGCTACATTTTTTTAAACACACTCTTTCCTTCATTTGGAGAGCATTAAACTTCAGCAGTCATTACATACAGGTGATTTCACAGCACTTATCTTCAAGTGCCAAAACTTGCCTTTATGTGATGAAAAGGAAACAGTCATAAATCTTCCTTATGCCATAAATATCTTTTAGAACATCATTGTTAAAATAAGCAGAAATGGACAGCCCTATTTTCATACAAGGAAGCAATGGAAGAATAACCTCCCTGAGGCTGCCAAGACAGAGCTGGACTGTTGATTGTACCATACATCTGGGCATGCAGATCTCATGACTCCTCCAGGCACTGAGGTGCCTGAGTAACCAGTAATTCTCAGATGATTCAGGTAGATTAGCACCACTATTTTCAACCCCAGGAACGAATCAGCAGGAAACTGGGAGAAAGCTGAGAACCACAAATTTCCTTGTGGTCACAGTGTCTGCATTAACTTTTTATAAATTTTTATTTACGCATTTTTTACCAAGTTGTTCACTGTACTAAATAAAAGAACTAATGAAGATTTGCAAAGGATGTCACAGTATTACATATATGTGACAGATCTCAAGAGACTAGTACTAATCAGGAGTAAGATTTTGGGATTGTCATATAAACTTTCTGTGAAAATTGCAGTTTAGTGTCTGGCACCATCTCAGAAGACACACTGTCAGGAATTTATGGATGTGGAAATGGAGTACATAAAGAAAGGGAGCCTACAAGAAAGATGGAGATGCCTGTTTACAAGGGGGAATGGCTTCACACTAACAGAGGGCAGGATTAGACTGGATATTAGGAAGAAATTTTCCCCTTTGATGGTGGTGAGGCCCTGGCACGGGTTTCTCGGAGAAGCTGTGGATGCTCCATCCCTGGAAGTGTCCAAGGCCAGGTTGGACGAAGCTCTGAGTAACCTGTTCTGGTGGAAGATGTCTCTGCCCACGGCAGGGGAGTGGAATGAGGTAATCTTTAAGGTCCCTTCCAACCCAAACCATTCTGGGATTCTAAGATTCTAGGAAATATCTTGAATGTATTGAATAGCATGCACAGTTCTGCCTTACCACCTCACGGGCTGCAAGGTGCTGGAAAAGGCAGAGGGAAGGTAGCAGGGTGATCCTTTTACAGCTTCCAAGCAAGGAAAATTTTAAAAGACCAGAAATCCTTAACTTTGAAAGCAGACAACTGAAAGAGTAAGTTGCATGGAGAAGGAAAATAGGGACTGGTGCTCATTGTCTCTTCCAATACAGGAATTCAGGGACAGCAAAGGAAACCATGTGGGGGTTTCACTTCTCTACACAACACATAGGCTGTGAAATTCTCTACCATGGGGTGCTAGAGATGTCAAAGGTTTACAGTGGGCTCACACCCACATCTAGGGTGTTTTACAGACAGAAAAAAAAAAGACAGTCAGAAGGTAAATGGGTTTTTCTTTCAGCTTTTGTTCCCCAAGACAAAACCTAGGGATTGCCAACATCTGAGCTGGTTTTCACCCCTCAGTGCTTGCAAGCAGCTCCACTATATCCCATGTTCCATAAAGGCTACTTCCAGCTTACAAAAGAAAAAAAAACCACCTTTTTTATTCTGATAAACAAGGTATGTTGCATTTAACAACATGGGCAGTCTTGCTTGCATCACTGGCCTTTGCCCTATCACTAGGTGCCCACAAACCAACCAACTCCTTGGATGTCACAAGTACATGTAGATGGTAAAACTGCTTTCACAGTTATACTACAACTTCCTGTCTCCTCTACCTCACCTACCAGCCTTCTCTGGCACAGTTAGTCCTCTATGCCATTTTTGCAACATTTCTTTCCTAAGCTATTTAGTTTTTAAAATATTTTACCTACACCTGTTGTCTCTTAGTATTCCACAGCCAGGTACATGCCACCCATGGTCCTGCACTTCAATACCAAACACTTCCCTGGCAAAAGGCTGGGCAGCTGCCCCAAAGGGGACAAGTGATGTTTATATATTACCATTATAACCAAAAAAATTAAATTCTTTGATAAATAAAAGGATAATAGAAATGGCAAGGATTCAAAGCCAGCTCATCTCCTTTTCGACCTGCCCTTGATTCTTGCAGAATCAGGCTCCCTGATTTGGGGAGCACTTTCAGCTAGGCCTGATTTCTACAGCATATCCATTTCCCATGGCACCATGTTCAGCTGGAAACCAAGCCACAGACATATCTGCCACTTCTCAGTTCTGAAATATGTGTGTATTTCTGAAGGATGTCCACTTGTGAAAACCACAATTAGTCAGATCTATCTATCCATTATATTCCTTGACAAATTAAAGCAACAGTGCAGTTCTCTAGTGCAACAACCTATATTCCCAGCTTAACAGGTTTTAGGCCACTAAAAAGCAAAATATGCTTCCAATTTACTGTTTTAATGTATTTAAATGCTATTCCATTTATATCAATTTAATTGGTGTTACACTTTCCACAAAACAGTTACCATAACTCCTTCTCTTAGAGGATGCTGCTTGAAATGACTGATTTTTTCTTAAAAATCAGATAAATCTGTTTATCTGTACAAAGCCCCTTGTAGCCACTTGCTTAGTTGTTTATTTTTTTCCTTTTCGTTTTGTTTTACCTCTGATAGGCTCACAGTTGATGGATGCAGTACAACTACCATCTAATTAAATTGCTGGAGAGTTTAGCAGTTGATAAATACAGTTTATCAAAAAACCATCACTCAAGCTCTCACTCAGAGATACTGGTAAGTGCATTAAACCAATGTAAGCAACTTTTAAATAAGACAGTTCAGGTTTAGTACATATCCAGAAGATAACTTCCATTTTACTTTATGATAATTTTCAATAGCAGAATATGATATAAGCACCAGCAAAGTAACATTTGGAACAACTAATTCAACAATAGGAGTTGGCACTGTGTACAGTCTCTCTGAAAGCCAGGTACTTGAAGCATTTTTAAAAGTATGTTTTCTTCAGTGTAGGCAGCACACTGAGTCACAGCATAAATATAACTATGCACACATCCACACTGTGTATTTACACACACAGCAAGATCAGGCTGTGGGGTAAGAGAATTCCTTTTTTCACAAGAGCACTAAGGATATTTCTCTTCTGGGCAGTCTCATGTTCACAGGCAGCTGCCCCATGGCCTTGTAGATTTTCTAGGCAGAGGATCTGTGCAGCCACTGGTCCCTTTACCCACAAACTGGCCCCAGCTATTCCAGCATTTGTGAAACAAATTCAAACCCACGAAGGGAAATGAATATTGCATTTTTTATAGGCTCACGTCTTCTAAAATGAATAATTATTTGGGTATTTCAGCTGACCTGGATTCGGGTAGAAATTCAGTAACATTATTTGATCTTCAGAGATCACCTGTTCTTTTGATGGTTTAGCTTCAGTATTAAAAATCTGAAAAACTGACAATTTTGAGTTTGTGTTTTAACTTACATTTGATTTTGCAGCATGGTCAAAATGAGACACTCTTGTAAATCAAAGAATAACAACCAGTCTTATTCTGTAATTACATGACTATGAAGAGAAACATAAATGCCATACCATACTTCTACTTTAGCTTCTACCTATTTGTCTTTCATTATCTGTAGATCACTCAAGACTAATTAATTCTGAGCCAAACAGTTTTCATAAGTAAATTTTTAGCCACAAAGTGAATTCATTGATTTTTCCCATTTTTGCATTACTGCACACAAAAGCACCAAAAGCTCTCAAAACCCCACAAAAATTACCAATGCATTCCTTGCATGCTCTTGAGATAATATTACTGCAAATTCCTGACTTCAGTATTCCAGTAATGTTTCAGGCTCCAGTTTGAATGAGTTTCTCAAATTACAATTCCACACCATCGAATTTCTATGCAATGAAATCCTATATAACCACAAAGCCCTCTGTCTTTCTGCAGCCATTATATAAAAAAAATGGAGAATAAATAAATGGAGGCCATTTATTTATTCTTTCCTAAAATGCCAGCTTCAAATGTTTTATGATATCAGCCAGCAAAGGAAGTGTTTGGTGGCAAGTCACTTACACCATATATTCAAACAAAAAAAAGTGCAGTTCCATCAAACATACCTCCACAAGCCTGCTGGTATGTTCTCGAAATATAGCAGCATATTCCTTGATTTCTTTCTCTCTTCCATTTTTAGCAGCTTCAATGAGAACTAGAAGTGGAACAGTGGTATCTAAGAAGGAGTCTGAGATGTGATCTATAATGGCTTTACGGAGCTGCAAAAGAAAGCATTACATTAGTACCTGCTAACTGGGCTATTTGTTAAAGTCTACTATAATTACTGGCCATTAATATTTTATAACATAAACATCTACACACTGTATTCCTGCATTATTTGCAAGATTGGGTGTCTGAAACCTACTGCAGTGCAATTTATCTGTTACACAGAAAGCTGTATTTAATTTTAGGGACAATTTTAATATGCCACTACCTAAATACGCATGTTTGTAAGTGTAAATGTCCGTGTGTGTGTGTACAGACACACCAAACACTTCCAACATATACTAGTTTTGTTGAAATCAAGGGAGCCAAACAAATATTCTCCTTCCTTGATGACAAAATCGACTACTTACATGATTTCACACGTGAAAAATTAGTTAGATCAGATCTCACGTCTCCTGGGTACTGTCCCTTGTAACTCAGATGCCAAGGGAGAAATCTATTTAATTTTATAGAGAAAATATTAATTTAATTATGTTTGCACTCCCAAAATAGTCTTTGTCACACCTTTTCATAATTGTAAAATTACCCAAATATTTTCTTGTTGGGAAATCCAACAGCAGAGTCTGATTTGCAAGATGGTTGCCTTCGTGGTAATTATGTCACCGAGATTACTGATTATGCCACCTGATAACGTATTAATAGAGCAAGAAGAACTATAAATGAGTCTGAAGTTCAATTTTCTCTGCTAAAATTAATTGTTCTTGAACTTTTTACTTAAATTATTAATGGAAGTGTAACATTCTGCTACAAATTATCCCTTTTAAATTAGGTTTCACATAAGTTTATAACCGATCTCCAGGACGTTACAGCACTTAAGGGGTTATTCTGCATGTTATAAACCCATACATGACAATTATTCAATTTAATCATGGAACACTCAGCAAACATACCAGTTGTAGCAATGTAACTAAATTATCAGGTTTGCTGAATTTCCTACTGCAAAAATGTTACTTTTACAATATACAGAAAAGATACTGATCGGGACAGAAAAGGAAACAAAGTATTTGGAAGCACTGACAGGGTTGTTGCCGAAGAAGATGTTTTCACTCAGAATTTTGCCCCAGTGCACCTGTGTGAAAACTCAGTAGAAGTAAAGGCTCCTACCAATAGAAAAATGCAAAACCCCACAGTCTTTTTGATGCTGCTGTGCTTGTAGGTAGGGCAGTGACCATGCACAGCAAAAATAACAGCAGAGAAATCTGTTGATTATCACGACAGGATTTGGATATGAATTTCACCACTACCTTTGAGATAGCCTCACCATCTAAAGCCAGCTCTCATTGACTCACCAAGGGGACAGACAAATCTTCCAAAAAACACACATGTTTGGAATGGTTTCTTTGTCTTCTAACTTGCTGCAGCCTATCCCATTGGGATAAGCTATCTGGACACACTGTATGTTCTGAAAGGAACTTAGAAAGACAAAGGCTATGCGATTCCAATAATTGGATATTTTACATTCTCAGCTTCATTCAGGTTGGAATTAAAAAAAAAAAAAAAAAAAATTATTAAAAAGTTTTGAAAACTTTCACTAGTAGGAAAAAATATGCTGAACCTCCAGTCCTGATAAGTTACCTGTTAAAATTTTTCTGCTGGAAAGGCCCAGCTGAAGAAAACAGACATTTTTTTCCCGTTTAAAATTAAGTACATGAATGTGACCTTGAAGAATCCCAGTTTAAAACTTAAGATTTCAATTTACAACAAAAAGCAACAAAAACCTGTGGAACCATTATATCCATGGCTGATGATTCATTATCTCCAAGAGAAATATTTTTGGGTTCTGCACAGCCCAGGCTGTAGGACTTTCGCAGCCTTAGTGTATTATCTGAGGACCAGTGACTGTAATAACCTCAGTCACATTTGTGGTGAGCTTGAGGCATCCAATTTCAAACCAGCAGCCTAATTTTATCTCTCATTGCATAATTCTTTGCTATAGTTTTTCACTGGTTTGCCTGGTTTAATTAACCTCTCACATATAAATTATCATTATTATTTTGTTCTAAGAAACCCACTATCCTGCAATTAAACAGCAGATCGTGCCTTCTTAAAAAAAAAAAAAAAAAAAAAAGAAGGATAATGCTGTGTCTTTACTGAATACAAACAAGTTTGAAATTATGTTCCAGTTTCAGGTCTTCAAAAGAAATACACGAAGCTGAGATTTTTCAAAGGATGGCTCACGTAGCATTAAAGAACCAAGAAATGCAATGTAGAACAAAAGAGGGGAAAGACAAAAGAAAAAAAGGAATATCTGAAGCAATATCTTCTTTCTTTTCATCCTAAGCATAACTGTTTTCATGACTCAGTAAGTCTGACTCTGGCCACCTCTAGAGCAAAATGCTAACAGCAAACCACATAGGGAGGCTTACAAACAGACACAGGACAGCAGCAGCAGTGCTGGCAGGCAATGCTAGGGAAGTTATTGTGCTATAATTAAAACTTTTCTCATATTTTAAGTGAAAGAGACACCATCACAAGAGGGAAAGCAGGGGAGGATGATGCCTGACAAACTGTTTTATTTTTAAGATGCAAGGTCTTGTTCTTACCCTTTGAGCAGACTGTTACAGAAGCAGAAGCATGGGGAATTTTTGTTTTGATATCAAAGCGCATTAAAAAATAATATAGAAAGATGCTGTTTATAAAACATGGGGCATAAGGTTGTTAAAAACAGTGGATGGTAGAGAAGAAAATGCCAGCAGCTGTTTACAACACTATTAAACATCAGTATTCTGATGAGTACAGAAAACTGTGTTTGCCTCTATTTGCCTCTTGCCTCAAAAGACTACCCTGGCAAAAGTCCTGGACAAACCACAGATCAGTTATTATTGAGGGATCTCTCTTTCCTGTCTCGAAGGGATGCCAGCAAGGCAATCTCCTTTGTGTTCAGGAAAAGCTATCCATGATGAAGAAGGAACATCGAAATATAAGAACGTCCTGAGGAATAACATTTATAAAAACAACCAACCAGCCAAAACTGCAGCAAACCATAGGAGAAACATCTGTGCAGTCCATTCACGCTACACTGGGAAACAACTGGGAGGCAAGAACCGAGTATGGTAATTTTCCATAATTAGAAATTACAATGAATAGGCAATTCCTTCTTAAATATTCATACAGCTCTACTAGGAAGGAACAGTGACCTAGGCAAAGCTGCACACCCAGAAATGGCACGCACATCTCTGGCACAAAGCAAGTAAAAATCAAAACAAAGCAGAACAGCTTAAAATCTCCACAAGTAGTGGCCAAGTTCTTGAAGTGAATGCAAATAACTTCCCTCGAAAAGCCAGGGACCTTTCACAACTTCCAGGATACACTATTACTGAGGTGGCTGCCTTTGCCTTCAGGTCTTGTCAGACACGAGCCCTCTTTCACCCCACTTCCTGAGGCCTACAAAGGTGTTCCAAAGGGGGCCATGGCACAGCCCACAGTCAGGCTGGTGCCTGGGCCAGTACCTGTGTGACGGTTCTCTTTACTGGGTACTACTGAAGAGACTCCCAAAATGCAAGTTCATAAGGTTTGGTGTTTAACCCCAATTTTGCAGAGGCAATGCCAGCAATGGCTGAAAGCAGAGCGCACACCATAGGCCCAAATCCACTGTGAGTGACTGATGGAACACCAAAGAGGATACACAGTATCATCATTTTTTTAAAAAAAGGTATTATAAAAGCTATAAAGAGTAGAGCAAACAACAATTTTCATGTTTTTTGTAAAATTGCTGGGAGACAAAATAATGAATGTTCATAAGTGAAAGCAAATAAGGCTCTGTTGCAATATCTGCTGGCACAGAACTCACAATTTCATGTTTCCCAGATCAGGAATTAGGCATGCAGTAAGCACCCTTCCTAAAACAATTCTTATGCAATTCACATGTATGAACATAAAACAGGAGACAGATGAAATATTTCTCATAAATACTTTCCAGTGGAAAATGTCAAGAAGCCACAGAGCTATTCTGGTTAGAGAAAATTACTGGTTCTAGATTGGCTATAAATTGGGCATAATTACATTCAGCCTGAACATTTTCCAAAGGTTTACAGAAAGACACAAATTGACTTAGTTAACAGCTTTTAACCACTGTAACAGAGTCAATAAACTGTTATAAGCTGGAGTTTAATTAACTCATGGAAGAGATTGTAGGGCAGAATGGGATTGTTCCTAGACACACTGAGCTCGTGATGCAAGTTGCCAGGTCTCTGCACTGAACACATTTTTGACAGAACGTAAGCAGAAATTGGATAGCTAGTTAGTAACAAATATATACATATACCTATAATATATATTTATTTGATATTCATCTCATCTTTCAAGGCTTCCCCTGGCTGATTATGGAAGCAGGAAGGAATTTATTCATCATTTTGAAGCACAGGCTGGCTTGTAAGACTGTACACGAAGTCGGGAGGGATATTCTTCCACCAGAGGGTTGTTAAATAGCCACAGCCAGAGGAAGGACCAAAACAGCATGTGCTCATGTTCTGTGCAGCCATGAACTTTCCTATAGGTGGAGCAGCCTGGTTGAAATAACTACTGGCTTTCCAGCTTTCTTTTCTAAACTGGCACATGATACACCTTCAACAAAATTTACAATTTTTCTCAAAGAAGTTTCTGGCAGAGAAAAGACGTTGTGGATTTTGGTCCATGTCTCACACTAGTTTTAGGATGCTAGGATGCAAAACAGGTGGGTGGACTGTGGACCAGGTATTCCAAGGACCCTTTGTGCTGTAAGACTTCTCACAATTGTAAAGACCTTGACATAGTGACTCCATAGTTTCTTCATGGTGTCTGTTCCAACAACCAATAATAATTTAAGCTTATTTAAAATAAAAAGAATCTTGATGTCCAGAATAAATTACTGATATATATCTATAGAAAATATATATTTAGACATGTGTACATACAGAGATTTGCCTATGTGTAAATATATCTTCAGCCAGTGTAATTTGGATTTTTCCCAGAGTTTCAAAAACTTGCCTGTGTATATCCCATGGAATAGTGCAACTATCTTCAATATTTTTTTTAATATGGTAAAAAAACCCCTCTTTGTTTTCAAAATGCATAAACTGAAAATTGCAATTTTGAAAGGCATCCTTCAAGACCCTTTTCTACCTCTTCCTTTCCCGAGGTTGCTCACCTGTCTGCGGAGATCTCTTGTCTTCTTGCACATACTGTCTATTGCCACATTCAGGGCATTACTTCTCACTTTCTTGTCAGCCTGTAATAAATGTGACAGAAGACACAAAGATGGTTAATTGTGATTTCTCAGCAAGCATGTTCTTTTTGTCCTCAGTTCAGCAGAGCATTTGGTAAATCATATACGTGTACAGATTTTTCAGATTTTAATACGTTTCAAGAGCCAATATGCACAGAACGCCAATTTGTGGTGATAAGCGTAATTTGCTGAATGAAAACATATGCTTTAGTAGCAGTCTATAGGAACAAAATTAAAAACTTTTCAACTTCTAAGTTGCTGTAATACTCTTAGTGTAATCCAGGGTTACTTGTGGAAGAACATTATAGAATTATTATTATTATTATTACTATTGATGTCAATCCATTATCACCATATTCATGTGAAAAATAATGTTATCTGTCTACAAACAAGTCATAAATTTAGATGCCCACAATGCAGTTTGGTAATGCTTTAGTTTGCAGCACTCATTATTTAATTCCTGGAAAACAGAATGGGGGAGTTTCAAAATGTCCAAGCTGTTGCAATGAAATGATGTTGTTTCATTGCTCATGAAATGGTACCTCTTCATTTAACAGCACATTCATTCTCAGCATCCAGAAGATTGAGTTCTTGTGATACTGGAGAGGTCTTAAGAGAATCAGTTGTACACTTCCTAAACTGTTATTTTTTTTCATTTCTACCCGTAGGCAAAGTGCTTATATCATTGTTAGCTATTTGAAAAGTGTAGTTAACACTTTTATTGGACTGCCCAGCATTTTTTCTGTACAACATCACCATAATAGCTCTGTGTCTTATAGCTGGTTGGGATATTTTTTTTCCCTGTTAGCAAAGAAACTACAGGAAAAACCAAAATGCCTGATGAAGTTTGTTTCCCTAAAGCAAACAATCATTACTCATTACCTTTGGACTGCCCTGGTCTGAAGGAAAGAACCACAAACACTGAAAGTGTCTTTACACAAAGTCTTAAGTCGGCGCTCAACATTTACAGCAAAAAGAACCAGATTCTCATAAATGTTGAAGAAATAGCTGTGTGTACTGACCACAACATTTGGACTTCAGGGAGAGTACACCAGGATGTCTGTATTATGAACATGACTCTCCTGTTTTGTAAATAATATTAAAATTAATATAGAATTTGTAATATCTCAGTAGGCACCTAGGTGTAGCTACTAGATAACAAGGCACCTTGTTATCTACAATAAATCATATATCAGTCAGAGTTATTTCCTTGCTAAAAAAATAAAAACCAAAATAATCTGTGAACAGAGCAATATGCTTAATAATAATAAAGCAAAGACTAGAGATGATCAGGAAAAAACCTTTATATTAAAACTGAAAGAGCAATGTAATAAAATAAATGCCTTGAAATTATTAGTCTAAAGGGAACAATTACTTTAAAAATTGAGCTCATATATTCAGGGGGACTTAGAAATTCTCCTGTGATTTTTCTATTTCTGAAATTGCTTACAGGTCTTGGAGAAAGGTCTGAACTTCACCTTAAAACCTTCAAGGAATCCCTAAAGGTAGACATTCACTTTTTGTATCACGGTAATGCAATTGGTTCTCACACCAAAGCTGGCACGGGAACCAAAGCAAATAATGTCTCCTCTACTGTGTTTTGTAAGTTAATGTAAAACTTGACAAGAAAACTTATCCCTTCAAAAAACTACCAGGTAAACAGGGCCAGTAAAAGCACTGTGGATACAACTCAGCTTATGCCTATGCACTTTCAGACTACAAAGATGGCACATCCTTTGAAAGCTTTATAGTCAGAGCCTATTTTCCACTAAGACAGAATCAGTGTAAAATACTGGGATTTTTTTTTTTTTTTTTAGTTCTCTAGTAATGTCTAACTTCAAAGGTGGCAACTAATGATACAACTGACTCTGAACAAACCTAAACCTAAACCACTCAGTCAGTGAGTGGCATATATTGAACGGAAAACAAGGAAAAAAATACTTTATTTGCAAATTCTTAACATTGTCAATAGTCAATGTCTAGAAAGCAAATCTAACTTTAACTGAAGTTATTCTTCACCTTGTGTTTTCCCCAAGAGCCAAATAAGCTGCAAAATGCAGCTTCAGGCTGTAGAATGTGGACATTTCCAGAATGCAGGTAACCTCAGAACTGCAGACTCTCTTTCTTCTTCAAAGAAATTTAAACAGCAAAAACCCCACACTGCTGTTCACATAAATCCTGCTTATAAAGACTTTAGAATTTCTAAATTGTGTACAGTCCTTTCAAGTCAGAGGGACACCTGACTACAAAGTCTCCCGTGGGAACACTCCCAAACATCAGTGGCCTCGTGCTGAGTTCTCCAGTCACCCACTGGTCCCACGTACCTTTAGATGCTGAATTACTCCTTCAAGTTTTTATTCCTCTGCACACTTCCACCTCAGATCTGTACATGACAGTCACAGTTCAAGATCTAGACTAGATGATTACACTTTTTAAGAACTGAAAAAGACCAGATTTAATATTTTAAAAGTGTCTATTAAAATGATGGCACAGTGAAACTAAAGGTGATCCAAACACCCCTACACTGCTCCACTCTCCAGTGACAGAGTTCACAGGTCTGTATTTGCAACACTCTGCATCTGCTTGTCTATTAACATTCTTATAACTGCTGTACTTCACAACAAACAAGCCTATCCTGAAATAGTTCCTTCTTGTACAGGGTAACTGAATCAGGATAAGGGGTAGGAAAAATATGCAAACTATTCTGGGCCTGGATTTCAAAAATCAGGCAGTTGAGCTCTCTCAGTTTTCCTGCATTCACCTACTGTTTTTTTCTGTTAAATATATGTAATAGCAGTGATATGGCTCCCTTGTAAAGATTCTAAAAGCAATATCCCGCTCCTATTTCAATGCATTTTTAAAATTTGAAACAATTTACAAGCACTGTAAATAACAGTGCTTAACACTTAATAACAGTCACACTGTTATTAATACTCCACTAAGTGAAAATAATTATTTTTAATTAACACTGGATAGCCTGAAATAAATGCTGAGTATTGCCAATAATAACACAGGCCTACCTATTTCACACACTGGAAAACAACAGAAGTTGAATGACTCAAAAACCACATGAGCAGAAAATCTTTCCTGCTGGATTTTCATTTAAAACAATCCATATCTAAGGGCAGATTCTCATCTGAACACAGGACCATCTCCCCACTGGTTTTAATGGACTTCATTTAAATCACAATTTGGGCAGGTCTACTTAAATGATCGTCTAATTTCTTCTAGTACTCAGGCTAATAGACATGAGCTAAATTTATAAACACTTATATAAAAAAGGGTATATAAGAGGATACAATCAGCCATACTATTCATTACATCAGTCAGTGAACACTCCCACTTTAGCCATAATCCAGAATTCAGTTACAACAGAGAACTGAAGTACTCTCATTAGCAGGACTAAACCAAACAAGTGAAATGGAGTCAGTTTATTCGGGTATGTACTGGTGATAGTCACAAGGATTTACTTAAGCCTTGCAAGGCTGCACTCCTTACAGAAATCACTTCTGCATCCCCTCTGAAGGTCCTGAACCTCTACTCGATATAGAGGGTGGGGAGAGAGAATTAATTTGGTAGGTTGAGGGTTTGTCTTGTAAATAGTCCCTCAAAATACTCATCTTTAAAAACAAAAACAAACAAACCAGCCACAAGAACCCCAAACAAACAAAAAGCAAAAAGCAAAACACAAACTTCTAAAAGTAAATTGTAACAAAGCACCCTGGATATTTTGGACATCCACACCTGAGGGAGATACTGGGATTTCAAATATAAAATCAATATTTTTCAGAACTAGTCATACATGTTCTAAACCACATCTGTAGTCTCTAGCCTCTCCATGTTGTGGAGTAAAAAGGAGCAATTCCATGATGAGAACAGATACCTGCTGAATTCCGTATTCCGGAACTGCTGGAGTCTGAGCTATAAAATTAAAAACTACTTTACTTTCATCCTATTCAGATATATTCATATATATATATACACATATTCATATATATTCACATATTCAGATGGAACTTCATCTTGCCTTCCTGGATTTACACATTAATCTAAACAAATATAAGCTGAAACAAAGCAGTGATACTTCACTGGAATGTTTAAAATTACTTAGATTTTTAAAACCAAATACATAACTTTAAGCCATATTGTTCTCAAAGACTCTCCTGGAAATGGATTTCCATACTTAAAGACCTATGGCCCCAAAACACTTTTTGTTTCATGGGATGTGTCTGTTCCCAAATACTCATTGTACAATCCTAGGAGGAATGAATAGAAAAAAGAAATCCAATCTGCTGCCAGGACTTCCTTTGTTTATCACTGAATCACAGAATGGTTGGTTTGGAAAGGACTTCAAAGATCATCTCATTGCAATCCCCTGCCATGGGCAGGGACACCTTCCACTAGCCCAGGTTGCTCCAAGCCCCGTCCAGCCTGGCCTTGGACACTTCCAGGGATGGGGCAGCCACAGATTTTCTGGGAACATGTGCCAGGGCCTCTCCAGCCTCACAGGGAAGAAGTTCTCCCCAGTATCCAATCTAAATCTGCCTTCTGTCAGCTGTCTACCATTACTCTGGGATAAACATCTTTTGATTTAGTTCCACGTTTCCCACGACAATTTTATTTTAAAAAAGACTAGCACATTTATCAAAATCAGTTCTCTATGGAAATATTTTTCAAAAAAAAAGTCAAGCTAAAAGGTAAACACCAATCAATACTACAATAAGTTAAGAAATGTCAGAGCTCTAATTAAATGACTGATTATTTGGGGCTGACAAAAATGCTATACTCAGTAATTATACGCTCCTGTACATTGTACCTTAATTAAAAAAAAAAAAAAAAAACACAAGAAAAACTAAAGAAATGAACCATCATACAACCTAAGACATTAAAGCAAAGTCAGAGCCTCTATAGAGATACCCAGCATTTTATGTCTGTTGTTACAATTTAGCATTTAACATTTAATGGTTTTTTGTATATGGAGCTTATAAATGGTTCTTCTTTTG